CTAAACTAGCCCAAAGTTACTCAAAGTGCTAATGCACTTATTACCTACTGTTAGAGACCAAAATAAATAAATAATTAAGTTTATTTTGTTTTAATTAGGAGGAAATTAATCATGTTAGAACTGCGCAGCTACAGCATTCACGAGATAAAAAATGCATTGAAAATGGTGTTAGTTTGATTCATTGATAATATGGCTACAACCATTTGTTTCGCTTTTTCTTGTCATTATCCATAATTCTTGAAAATTTGATTTTTCACATGGGTGTCTTCCTGAGGCCATGTGTTTATTTCGTCCGCCATTCCTCTGTCACAAAGAGTTCCAATAACATTGATTTTAGAATAAATGCGACCATAATAACACCAAGACAAGAAATTAATAAGTAATACTCCTTAGGTTATATTACTTACTACTTTTATTTGTTGCATCGAATCGTCTGATTAATTAAAAAATGCGATTTTAACCCTACTCCAGCAAATCGGGAAAAACTTCTGTTTACAGCTCGAATTTCCTTTTTAATATCATTCCAATGAGCACGTGGTTGGCATGTGCATATATCTGTTGTAGATAGATCCGTTTATTACCATGATTATATTTAATTTTTCATGGAACAAGTCTTGATAATTTGTTTGTTTCTTTAAAACTCAAGAAAAAAGATAAAAAAAAATGTCCTAAACATGTTTGTTTACGTCGGGTCTTTTTTTCTGTGGCGATAGAAGTTATTTTCAAATGGGGCACTGAAAGGAGGATGCTTAGCATTTAATTTAAGAATGTTTAACAATATGCGGTGCATGAAAAACAAATATTAATTACATGTCTTACATTCGAAAAATTGGTATATTTGTCTATTTTGTTTAGCAGTTAGATAGAAACAATAGGCAGTTATAAGATTTCCTTCAGGCACCTCACATAAATAGCTAGATTGTTTGCAATGACCCAAACATTGTATGGAGTAATGTTTGGACATGAAAAACGCATCATGTCTCATTATGTTGACAACGTTGTAAGCTCTCGCTCATTGAACATACGAAGCTTGATAAAATATATTGATCTGTTTCTTTGAAATTTAGAAGCAAGCACAATGTTTGCAAAGAAAGGTCCATTGCATATGCTATGTCTATCATCGCCAAAAAAACTGAGAGGCTACCCCCCCCCCCCCCCCCCCCCCGAAAATCCTATATTTGTTTGGTTTTCTAAATAGTGCCAAAGATTCAAAAAGTGTGCATTACTAAGTATGTGACGGAACATGTACTAGCCTTATAAGACCATTTGTTATAAAAATATTTGGTTGCCCTCTCTCCCGATCTACTGTCTAGAAATGGCCCGACTCATTTTTTTTTTACATCCCATTACACGATATTTTTTTTTCTTCCGTCAACAAATATGTTTAAATTTTAAGATTTTTTTTTCTCACCTATGAATACCGACCCAATAATTTTTTCCTGAGTTGGGAGGACCACCAAACGCGTCATTTTAAAGATGGTATAAAATATTTAATTACGTTGATTTTTTTTACACTGTAAAATTGTAATTTTGACAAAATGGGCAAATAGAAAAAAAAAGTTTTTTTATTTATTAAATCTTCTAACCCACTCTGAATGATTTCATTCCTTTTCAAATGTTGCTCCGCTGTAATGAAAATTGTAAATGTTTATTTGACAGAGTATACGAGGGGTGATCAAAAAGTAAACGATAGCTTAGGTATTTAATAGTTATATTATTGTTGAAATATTCGAGTATTTTTCAAAGTGTAAATTGGAGGCCTTTGGTAGCATATTGCTTAATTGAAAACACATCCCTTTTCAAACTTGCTTTCACCGGGCAACATAACAAGTATCATATTTAACTATCTGCCTTCCTTCACTAAATCTTAATAAACTGTGAACAAATTCTTATACGCCACTTCAAAGGCATTTTTAAGATATACCATAAATATTTTAGTCGTTTGTTGAACGAGTTCCACTGAGACAACCATTTTTCGTCACAAGTACCTGCATAATGACATCATTTTCACATTGTGAGCAAAACTTTATTCAGCATATGCTTTTTATAGAACTTGTGTTTGGCGATGTGTGCATCAAATTTGTTTCTAATCTGAATTGTGGTTTTGTAGATACACATGTATAGAGATAGTACGTTCGCGAACTTTTTGATCACCCCTCGTACAAGTAGGTACTAAAACAAGGTCATTCATATCGATTTTATGTGTTTAATTTCTTTGTGTTTCAATGGTGATAATTAAAATTTTAATAGATATTATAAGTTATCTGTGGCAAACTTACAAACTCTTAATTCTTAACTTTGATTGTGCTCATTTTTTCTTTACTTGAATCAAAGAGTTTAAGATTTTTTTATATCAATACGTACACTATTCAACAACTGTTCGATAATAATACTAAATAAATTACTTCAAGAAACACTATAACACATTTCCTCTTTTAAAAGTGTTCATATTATTTGAAATATTTAGCAACTGTAATTCTCTTCTACATTTAAAGATTGTCGTGTCCCTCCATATTAAGAAGAGGTCTGGAAAACAAAATTTTGTGCTAAAAATAGACCACGTGCTGCTATCCATGAACTACTTTCATGGTTCTTTACACTCTATTTGAAGACAACGATACATTGTTTTGAACTTGAAATTATCATTTAAAAGTGCAAAAATTAGGAAATTTTCTCAACAAATGGTTGTAGAGAGAACATTAATGCACAGTTTGCGTATTTTTTTGGATTTTTTAAGGCTTTGCTGAATTCTGTGGCTGCGCAGTTCTAAGGATCATATCAAAAGCATTTTTCTGCAAAAGTATAGATTATGTATGCACAACATGCATTCAGTTATGCATATTTATTGTATCTTTATCATAAAGACTTAAAATTTGATAAAAACATAATGTATTTTAGCCATTTGAAGAAATGTTTACATTTTATTCTCACTGCACTAAAGGTGGCCGTACATCCCCCTTAAAGTACTTCGATAGACATTAATAATTATATATTTGTACAAATGCTAAAGCGAACTGTATCGAATGATTGATATAATTTGATTATGTACGATTATAGCTTTTTCTTCCTTGAAAATTAAGCATGTGGTTATTTCACTAAAGCGGTCAAAAATTGTGCTCAAACTAAAGAAAACCCAACAGGAAAAGCCAAAACGCACTGTGAAACACATTTGCAAAAGTTAACGTATAAAATTCTGAAATTTTTCGTTTATAACAGTCTTGGTCTAGGTTGGGCTTTAGTTTCTAGCTATTGAACATGTACTCACAACTCTAAAATGTCGGCTATGGTATGCAGAGCACACGAGGTTGGTTGCATCCAGTCGTGTTTTGTCAATGGGTTAAATGGTTATTGGGAATAAACCCGCTCAAAAAGCTATAACATCGTCATTTATCAGGACACAGCATGTCCAATCCATTAGTCGAAGTAAGTTTGGAAGCCTTCTCCAACGAAGTATCATCTGTGTAAGATGTAAGTTTGCTCTATGAAACACTAAAAATTAATTTGGAATTAACCTGCTTAAATTACTTAAACTTAATCACTCATCTAGACTATGTAGGTCAGATCTTGCATCCGAAACAAGTCCGTTGGTGTTAATTCTACAAAACAACAAAGAGACCCCTGAAGACACTGTAAGTGGGATCAGGTGCGTAGGAGAAGTAAGATCCTGTCAGCGGATATTACGTCAGTCGGGAGGCCTATGTCTTGATCAGGTAGACTAGTACTTCTTTGTTAAAGCTTATATAAAGACAATGACCAAATCAATAACACTTATAATATAAAACAAAACAACTCAACCATATGGTCCTTTGCCAACAAGTTCGTTAATTTTATGTAGTATTTAGTATTGTAGACGTCTTTAATTTCACATGTCTAGAATTTTACGGTTTGATAGAAAGTTACATTTCAAGGCGGTTTTAATTTTACGGTGAATTGTATACAAATATTCAGGTGTTATGCCCGTTTTTTGTTAGAAACGAAGTTAAATAATTATCACCATGGTTTAAAGTTCGAGGAAAATTCTTAATTCATGAATATAGGGAAATTAAAAACACTGTAATTATTCCACTTCTGCAGTATTTTTAGCTCGGGAGGCTGATATTGTTATTATCATTTTTATATATCATTATTAGAAGACCTATTTTGGTTCGTATAAAGTCGATTTTTTTCAAAATCTTTATCATTAGAAAAAAAAAACATTTACTTTGGCCCTCAACTTAATATTAACATTGACGAGGCATTATCAGTTAATAACAATTACTTCCATTCAATGTCCATACGATATATCCAAGTAAGGTTGAAATAAAAAAAAATATATAACAAATTTTTGTATGTTTGTCTCAATTTTGGATACTTTACAAGAAAAAGACTTTATAAAATGGTAACCTTACAACAAACATTACGATAAACATGATGACATCAAATTCTCCATTGTCAAATTACCTTATTTACCTTTCTTATGCTGCAATATACTGAATATGATATTTTTGTTAATAATTAAAAATTGTTATGATTGACAAAAAACGACAAAAATGCTTATTTTCCACCAATTTCAAAGCTATTTATAACGGAAACAGTATATTTTATTACTATATTTATGTTTTATTTGTTTTCCTTAAACATGAGAAAAGATATAAAAACATTTAATCATATCAAAGACTATTTCAAAATATGGTGATTAAGACAATTCATCAATTTCTTTTGAACTATTCTTTGTATTTAAAAAAGGATTTATGGTCAAATTGCCATTTCTATTGAATTAAATGGTTGCAAAATGAAGGCGGGGATCGAGAGTTAGCGTGCATATTTCTTTAAACTTTCGTTCAAAATATATCAACCCCGTTAATGTTTGTTTGAGTTTTTTTTAATTCTAATATTATTCCATACAGATCCAAATGTTATTACATATATACCCCAATCGAAGGTCAAAATATTGATGAAACAATTGCTCAAATTCACAAGAAAGAAGCATCTTAAGTTATTCTTTATTGAATCTTTCGCCATGATTTATTTATTTTACGGGTCTGATCATCATTTTTGCAGTCTTCAAGGAAAATCCTTTTCCAAATTTGTCCCAGTTGATACTCTCATCTGTTTTGACGGCAGATTTGAGATAAGGTCCGTTAAGATTACAGTCATCACAAGATCCGAACCACCAGCCAGCTTTACCACGAACAGCACAGGAAGTCTTCCAAGAATCATTGTCTGCATCCTTCGTAGAGAACGACCTTCCATTATGATGATTGAAACTATCACCTGAAATACATTCATTTTCTTTTACATTTCTTGTCTCACTTTTGTCTTGTTTAGTTGACTTCATGAATTTGACCTTGAAGTTTGACCTACTTTTCAACATGTAGAGTCATTTAATGCTTACTTTTTAGCCAGGACTATCACGTACTTTTCTACTCGTATGAAAGTTTAAACATAAATACATATCCATTTATTTGAATATAAATGTGCATAAAATATTTTCATATTTGGAGAGAATAATTAAATTTTGTTCTTATTGTTATTAATAACTCACCCGCGGTACCACTGTATCCAGTGACTGTCAATTTAAATTTTTGGGACTCGCTTCCGACAGAGAACTTGGAGTACTTGGCAAAAGCCTTTTCGCCCGTAAATTTCTGAAGGTCCACTCTTAGTTCATGTTCTTTCCTTTTAGTGAGTAAGTGAATGGCTTCATTTCCTAAACCACGAAAACTTACACTATTAATATCTTATACAGATATATGGCAAACAGACAAACCAATATGATATAACATGAAGAAATCGATGCAGTTAAAACAAACTAGGCTATACTTAGTACATCTTCTTGGTGTAATCATATCCTTCATATAAATTTAACAGTTTACTTCAAAATGAATATATCAAAACGAATTGAAAGAAAAATGAAGATAACAAAAAATTAGTACTCTCTCTAACAAAACTTCACTTTAGTAAACTAAAGTGCTTACTATAGTTAACTTAAGTAAATACTTTGACTTACTATGACGCCTTACTCTAGAATTTATTTTTTTTTTGAAGATTTAAAACGTTAATATTTCTTAAATATAATATCAAAAAAAATGTGTAAATATATATTTATGTCAGAAAATTACTTTCTATAATTTTAAAAAATAAATATCTACATATTTCTGAAATTCATAGTAATACTGAAAACTTTAATTTACTATTAGTTAATTATGATTAACAATATTTTTTGGTAGGACTAGCTCAAAATGGCAATCTATTATAAGAATTATGCTCTGAAAAAATTGAAACATAAATTTCATATTTTGAATATATTCTTTGATTATTCAAGGGGGACCTATGTCCGAAAAGTCTTTGTGTGAAATTTTCAATACTCTAACATTTCATTCCTGACCACTTACTTTAAATTTTAAGGCATTAAAACTAATATCTTTATATGCTTATTTTTACACAGGAGTACGAGCAGAAACAGTGTGAAATGCTAAAAATAGATTGTTTACAGACATTTTTTTCTACAGAATAATGCGCTAAAAAGAACGAACAATGTCAAATCATATTCAAAATTAACATGTATGTAAAATATTTGACTTGTATCTTTAAAATGAAGGCAAATAAATTGCAATTCATATTGCATGAAAAATTATAATGGAGCACAAGGAAAGTATAACCCCCATTTCTCTGTCGTATTTTTAACAATTCCGTCATGCATGACAGGAAATATCTTACAAAGTCTTTGTGTGAAAATGTTGTAATTCATCAGTTTTGAAGAAATGAATTATCTTTTTTATTGTAGTAAAGAAAATAGTATACAATTTATATGATAAAATAAACGGGAAATATGAGGTTTTCTTGAATTTTCATACTCTTTGGTAATAAATATTGACCTTTCTGTACTAAGACAAAGGTAAGTAAGCACTGACGAACATCTGAATATTAAACTATTTTGCGGAAAACAAATATTTTACTTTGATTAGTAATAACTTACACTGATATAATCTTTTCTTCTCGATTCCGATCGTTTTGTACATGACCCCCTTTTTTCCCCGTCAATAACCAATACTTATAATACAATTAAATCTTGATAAATATTAAAACGATATAGGTTTAAGTACATTTTTTTAAAATATCGTTTTAATTTCTATCGAGGAAAAACAACTACTGTAATGCTGGATTTGCTAGTTAACATATTTTTCTTGATTTAAGCCGCTTTCTTTGCTGAATTTTATCCTTTTTTTTGTACTTATATCAGCTTATTATTGACATCTCTTTTCACTACTGAAATTGCTATGAACCATCAACCAACGGAAGAGAATTCTTATATAAACAAACTCCATAAATTAACAAAAAAACTATATAACAATTATTAGTAATGAATAAATTTTCTTTTTGAAATTGTGTATGTTATTGACTATTTACAATGTTAGGCCTAAATCACAGAACCACAGATCACGAAAGCCAACAGGTATGAAAGAAACGTCGCTATTGTGATGTCAAATAACGCTGTTCTAACGTGGAACGATATAGGTCCTCCCTAAAGTAATAAAGATGTGAAAACAAGCAAACCAAATTTAAAAAAAAGATTTTGGGAGTGGGTGTGGGGGTGGGGGGGGGGGGGAGTAAAACAATAAATGAATATTGCAGCTTGTAAAACTTAATGACGTTTAATCATAAATGAATTTATTGAGAGTATAGATGTTGAATAAACCGACATAACCAGGTTATACTTGAATAATTTGGCCAAGAATTTCAATTAGATTTTAAAATCATTTATCAACAGTGGTTGCAAAATGTTTGCCAAATACTACCCCCGGGCTTCAGGATTTGAACAGACTTAAAACTAAACTAACTGAGGATACTTTATTAAGACTTGTTTTAAAGGTTTGCAAAATAAACCATACCATTTTTCAAAAAAGAAATCACAGTTTGAAACCAGTATACATGCATACATGGAATTTCTTCGAAATATCTAATTTTGCTAGTTCAAAATGGGTTTTAAATTGTTAAATGCATGTAACTCAATGGATCTACATGTATTAGGATACGTAATTTAATTTATCTATGAACTTTATTGGGGGATCCATATAATTGATATGATGAACAATCAATTTATATCTTACCTAACCAATATTCCCCCTCCACATTACCGAATCCTTCTTTGTACGAATCCCAGGATCTATAAAACTCTACTGATCCGTCCATCCGCCTATTGATAACCTACATCTGTACATGTATAATGAAAATGTATTATATCAGCATATATAAAAATCATGGAGGGGGAGGTCAAAAATCTACAGACAAAAGAGATCCTAACTTAAAGTCGATATTACAATTTTAACTATACAAAATACAGGAAACATATCTTCCCCAAAAGAAAATATAATTTACTTAAAATAAATGAATTATAAAAATTTAATTATACGTGTAGTTAAAATAGAAAATCATGAAATTTCTTACCGTCCAACCCCCTCCTTCGGTAGTCATGTCACAGTACACCAGTTTCTTTGTCTTCATATCAGGGCACAGGCACCTGAAGTATGGATAATACCCCCCCCCCCCTTTTTTTTTTAATGAAAAAAAATGTAAGTGTATAATATCTCAAAAATATAAAATTTCCCCGTCAAACACATCTATATGTCGTTATATGCATGCAGATTGTACTTTTTCCTCACGTTTAAAGAATGGCCTTATTCGGTATAATAAAAATACACAAGGTAAGAAACAAAAGTTGTAAACAAACGGGGAACCCCTACTTCGAGACAGATTACTAAGGTAATAATTAACGTTACCTATCATAATTTTGCAATCACTCTCTCTGGGGGATGTTCTTTGATTAGTCTCTTTAACCTAAACCCCGCTATTAGCGTTTTATATGCCGTAATCAGACGATTTATTAATCGGATACATAGAATTTTCTCCATTGGCAGCGTTAAAGGAGGTTTTGGAGCTGCTTTTCTGTTTCGCCTTATCTGATTGGTTAGATATTTAAACTGTATTATAATTAGCCAATCAGATAAGGCGAAACAGAAAAGCAGCTCCAAAACCTCCTTTAACGCTGCCAATGGAGAAAATTCTATGTATCCGATTAATAAATCGTCTGATTACGGCATATAAACGCTAATAGCGGGGTTTAGGTTAAAGAGACTAATCAAAGAACATCCCCCAGACAGAGTGATTGCAAAATTATGATAGGTAACGTTAATTATTACCTTAGTAATCTGTCTCGAAGTAGGGGTTCCCCGTTTGTTTACAACTTTTGTTTCTTACCTTGTGTATTTTTATTATACCGAATAAGGCCATTCTTTAAACGTGAGAAAAAGTACAATCTTCTTGCATATAATGACATATAGGTGTGTTTGACGGGGAAATTTTATATTTTTGAGATATTATACACTCTTACATTTTTTTTCATTAAAAAAAGGGGGGGGGTTATTATCCATACTACAGGTGCCTGTGATCAGGGTATATAGTATAGACGCCATCTTTCCCTTTTGTGTTGGGTATGAATTTTAGAATTGATGCGTAGTCTCTTTGCTTTTGGAGTTCTAATTTCGAAGATTACATATTACGTGTACAGTTACTTCTTAATTCTTTAAAATATATTTAAATCCTACAAACAGTATATATAAGTTCCTTCTAAAAATATTTTGGCACCATTCATTAAATTTTATTTCTAAGGAACGCGGAGATATTTTTACATGAAAATTGAATATACATGTACTTCTCACTATAGATTTATTTTTGGGGGCGCTCTTTTCTTTTATATTTGTAACATAAGTACTTACTCTGATACTTGTTGAAATGTTTTCCAGTAAGTCTATAGTGAGACAGAAGAGAAATATCCACAGAGATTCGGGTGTCCACTTTGACGGATGTGTTCAGATGTTTCCAGTTCCAGGGAGTTAAGTTCAGTAGAGCCTCAACATTTCCTGATAAACAAAGCATTGATATATATTATTATCTATACAGAAAATATTATTTTTTACATATATGTAAATTTTGAATTTGTACTCATATATATTTTTTTTTTATTACAAAAAAAATTACAACTTCAAAATACCTTGTAGATGGGAATGCGGAGTAATACAACATGTAGTTGTAAAGTGCAGAAAGAAACACAGTACCACAAAATCTTTTTTTATTAAAACCATATTTTCTTCTGTTCCTGCACGACAACCACTACGATTACTCATGAGAGTATTATATATACCTTTTTATTATAATTAAAATGTAACAGGATATTTTGGTTTAAAATTACAGCTTTTTAACATGGAAATCTGTATCGCTGGAAAAAATAGTAAAAGTCAATAAAAATACTAGTTATTTTACTTCCCATATAATTACCACAGTAAAAATGGTGTTCACTGGGTATTGGATAGATTTACAAGATAACATTAGTTAATTTGGAAGTTATGTGTTAATTACTTTCACAAGGCGAGACTTCTTTCTCTGTGGGACACTTACTTCTCACCATTTTTATTTTATTTTTTTTTTTTTTTTTTTTTTTTTTTTTTTTTTTTTTTTTTTTTTTTTGCTTTTAAACATTTTTAGGGAAAATTCAAATCACGCAAAATGTCAAAAATTATTATCTATAGAAATTTTAATCTTTTGATTTCCTTATGTTGAGGATAGTTTAATTATATAACGCACAATTGGACTAGGAAATGATTGTTTATTGGACATGATTGTTTTTGAATAAAGCGAATGAAATTCATTCAT